TAGCTTTGGATGCCTTCTGCTTGGGACCCCCGTGTGATAAGGTCCTAAAAGGTTCGCCATCACTGGTATAGAACCTGCATGATGCAATGGTTGACATGTTAACCTTATATGAAATAATGTGAGGTCCAAATCTCAGGTTCTTTGGGTTTAAACCTCAGTATTTGCAAGACATTATCTCTCAGCTTAACCTGCCTCATTGAGTTGCAACAATACAAAAGCTCATTGAAAAAAGAATGAAATCCAAATGATACATTTAATTGCATAAAGAAAGAGGGGAATAGGAAAGGGGGGGGGGGCTGAAAGAGAGATTAACTATTTTTCTCCAAAGCATATCTGCTGCCATCTGTTAACTTTTTAGGATCTTTTAATTTTGCAAATAAAATTGATTATGCCATGCTAGTCACACAGTGTGCTCTCATAACAGATATTTTCCAATTAGCCATTAGGAATTACAAACCATATGCTTCCCTTGGGTATTTAAGAGGCACAGAAAAAGACACAAAATCTGAAAGACTAAAAATCTACAACTCCACTAAATGGCATAAGGGAAAATAATATTTCTAATTAAACTCACTGAAGTGAGAAATTTTAACATTGTGCCAAGGATTTCTTTTCTTTTTTTTCTTCTTGGCAGTTTCAAAGTGTCTTTTTTCCCCTTTGCCCTTGTAACTGTTTACTTCCTGTTTTGTGTCTATGCCATGCATCAAAGCCCATTAACAGTTTGAATGTTATTCCTGTACTTGAATGTGTGAATACAGAACCGAGTGAAAGCTGGTGTCACATCTTAAAGATCAGATAGAAATCTGACTAGCAAACTGTCTTTGCTCAGTTATGGAATACCTTCAAAACAGGACTGTGTATCAAGTTCATGCATTGTTTTTCAGAGCATGATTAATATTGTGCAACATCTTTGGATAGTTATCTTCATAGCAGATGGAAACACAGAAAAGGATGCTTGAATGTGCCTTATACTTCATGCATCATACATAACTGAACATATGTTGGAATCTAACAATCTTGACACTGTAAGCTATTCAGCCTCAATAGTGGGTGAATATAAAAAGAAATGCAAAAATAATGTATGCTTCTCAACTTTATTTCATATAATGTAATATGCTTTTTAATGTATGGATGATTGCCAAAAAGAATTAAAAGCAACCTCTGAGAACAAAACAACATTTTTGTATTTTATACAAGATGCAGTATTGTATACTATTTCATAGAATAATAGTATATAAAAAATAGCCTCAGGAAAAGTTTCAATAAATTAGTCCATCATGATTTCCTTTTATGCAAAATTTTATGACACCAAGGATGAACTCATGTAACTAAATTCTCACTGCTGGGTGATTTTCTAGAATCAAGGCAAACAGAACCCCCAAAGGCAATGTCTCCAAGTATACCATAAGCTTACCTAGACAAATACAATCAATATGTGGTGGGCTCAGAATGGAAGAAGATGATCTAAGAAGTCAAATATGTGATGGATTCTTTATCAGAGCCTCAAAATGTTATTTCTTTTTACTATACCTCTTTGAAACCCCTATCAAGCATGGCCAATGCTTAAGCTGTTTTGGAGATTTCAGTACATGTGATTTAAAAAGTGTCTCATCCAAGCTCTGTGTCTAATATCAAAGTATCCTTAAAACCCTACCTTTGAAACCTTGTATCTCCCCCCCAAAAAAATTTCCAAATCAGTAGAAAGCAATGCAGTGAGTAATGATTTATCCAGTCCTATCCTGTGGGCTATGCAACAGCTTGTTTCCAATGTAAAATTTTCTTTGTCTTTTAAATACAAACCACTTTGTGTGTATTTTTATGTGTATTATATATCTGTTAAACCAATAACCAAGCAGAACAGTTGAAGGCTCATAAATTATATGAATAGACATTTGTCATTCTCCAAATCTGTTATCATAATGTTTTTGACTTCTTTCAAATAAGGGGCAGACATACTCTGGAGTCCAGAGGGCTACACCATCTAATTCTTAGCTCTAGTGGGTCAGTATCCTCCATTTAGTTTGCCTATTTGGGCATGAAGAAATGATATCTCATATTCTTTGTTGCCTTTAGGTATATTTTTGTGGTGGTAGAGTCTTGCTGTTTCAGCATGAGAGGCCCTTGAAATAGCATTTTAAAGTGATTTGAAAGAGTTTTTAGATGGAATTGCATAGAAATAGGGATTGTCCAAAACATTTTTGGAGAGCACTGGGGGATTGGAGGTGTCAGTGAGAATCCCAAGGATTATGGTCTGCAGGCTGCACAATTCCCACTTGCCATGGAGGGGAGTCGCCACGAGAAAGAGCACAACACATCTCAATT